ACTATATATTACTACATGTAGTAAGTAATACTACATTACTACATATTACTACATGTAGTAAGTAATTATTACAATTATGGCTTAAAAAAGACTATATAGTAATATATATAGTAAATATAATTGTAGTAATTATCTATTTATGACGCCAATCACTACAGGCAATAATAGGACTAATTTCTTGAAAGAGCAGCGAATCAGCTGTGGCAGTTCTTCCCGACCACATATTGGAGATCTTTCAATTTGCCGGGACTTTTCTTTGCCTTGCTTATCCATAGAGATAGTGTATCGTTAGGTATTCCTCATGTGCCCTTCTTCGCACATGAGAGTCGCAACCATCCATATTTTAGTTATATTGAGTTACGTCCTTTTACTAGCAAAAGGCTCTTTATATACTTAATATTCGACTTTAGATTAATTACATTATAATTAATCATGCTTTTACTTCAATTACATAATTAATAAATCATCTGATACTTATCTCATATTTTTTATGCGTCTTGATCGATTCTTGATTGATCGGTTATACGCATTAAACTATCGATTAGTAAACCCGAATCATACCGTCAGGGACCTGCAGATTTTGTAATTTGCTGTAATCGAAGCAAATCACAAAAAGCATGTGGTTTCTGCGATTTACTTCGATTTGCTTCGATTATAGAAAATGCACTTTTTAAGTATACATGAAATTTTTAGCAAATATAATAAAATATTTTATATTTCAATAGTTCAAAGAAATAGAAATATCATGGGCTATATATTTGTGCATAAAAACCAAAATTTTTTTTTAGTACATTTTTTTTTCAAAATTAAGTTTTTTATTAGATAAATTTTTAAATTTTATACTAATTCGGACTTTTATTGTTAATCGCAGTAAATCAAATAATTTGCTGATATCAAAAACATAATTTGTTAAATTATATTACAGATTCTGCAGGTCCCTGCATGCCGTATCAATTGATCTCCAATTGATCCTTATCCACATGATTATCTTTACTATCTGACTTCCTTCGGAGAACTGATCATGACCACCACAGTATCTATCTAATAATTAAAAATAGCACAGTATATAGTAAGTAAATTTTATGAATTAATTATAATTATCTCAAATTCAAAGAAATTAGTAGATTGCAACCTCCTGTTTATTTGCAGCCTCCTGTTTATTTGCAGCCTTCCGTTTATTTGCAAATTGAGTAAGCTGTTTCCAGAAAAAGTGCCAGAATAAGCAAATAAAATCAGGACTCTTTTATAAATGCCCTACTCCAACTCCTTACTGTTTGCCCAAATATACTGAGGTGCCCCAATGTGGCAGATCGAACTGCATTTTCCTCCTCTTCGGTTTACTTTTTCGGCTACTTCACTCCAGAGGTGGGATACAGCCGGCGACTTTTTTTCTAACTTAAAAAGAAGCCGAGTCAATACAGAAATAAAGCAACTATTTACGCAATAAAAACGCCTGATTTTCATTGATTACACCCAACTTCATCCAAAACTAGCGGATTATCACAAGAGCAAACCAGCAGATGCTCTTGCTTAGATGAAGAGAAACAAACTTTGACGAAACCAGCAGATCATCATAAAAGTAAACCAGCAGATACTTTTGCTTGTTAAAGTCTTACTTGACATTACCAAAACCAGCGGATCATCACAAAAACAAACTAGCAGATGTTCTTGCTAGTAAAGTCAAGTCAGAGTGTTGTAAAGCAAAGAAGCAAAGAAAAAATACATTTATCTCGAACACATTTAAGTCGAGCTATGTGCGTTCATTAAATTTTGTTGTTCAGTTAGCTCAGCAAAATATCTAGCTTGCTCAGTTTGAGCAGCAACTTCTCTTTCTCGTTTCGCATCTATAACCTCTATAATTTCTAGAGAGCTATTTTTTTTACTGCAGTAATTCATATATAATGAACCAGCTTTCTGATTGGCTTATCATAAGGTACGGCACGGGTAGGGTCCCGATTTTCTGCTGCAGTGGATTGTAAATTCTTATGGGTTCATTTATACGACAATTTCATATAAATTAGTCTGTATATAGAAGCTATATATATATAGTATGTAATACTAGAAAAATGCGCTAACCTTTAGATCAGTCTTAGCGATGCGATAAGAAGAGAAGAGATGTTTCTTTTGTTCTTCTCACTTTATATCCGGTTTTCATGAGAAAGTATATTTTCTTTATTTTTACATTTTTTTTTTTTATATTTCTATTATAAAAACAACAGAAAAAAGAACTGTGATTAGATTCCATTGACGTGATAACACTGCATCATAATAAAGAAGGTGTATAACTGATCCTTCTTTCAGAATCAGCAAACCCTATCTAGGAATCTAGTAGCTCTAGGAATCTAGTAACTCTAGGAATCTAGAGTGAATCTAGTAGCAAGGCAGTAAGATGTACCCGTCACTAGTGAGACAAGACTCTCACGTCACTGTAATGCTTTTCCCCGCAGCGCGCAAGATACGGGTCATAGCACTCTTACTGCCCTAGTTAATTAGTATTTTTGCATCTTTGAGAATGTGTAAACACTAATCTTTAGATCAGTCTTAGCGATAAAGTGCTCCAATATGCCGTCGTTCTTGGGTTTAAATAGTTAATCAGTATATATTTAACTCTTTAGCTAATGTATTATTTATATCACGCTGGGAATAATCCTGGTCTTTCTTTTTTATAAAAAGAATTCCATGTAGCAAATTTCCATTCTTTAGAAGGGTTCTTCCAATAGTCTTTATATCGAAGTTCTTGTAGTAACATATTAAAAAAATACAAGGTATGTAAAAGATATATAAGCCTTATTATATATGAACATGATTATATATAAACAAAGCTACCTTAAATGCATTCTTAATGATATATTTAATAAAAACTGTTAAATAGAGATCCATTTACTAAAGAACTAATATCGCAAAACATATATATGTTTTTAACTAGATATGCAAAGGATGCGTCTGGTGCAGTCCGGTTCCGATCCTTAAAAAGTCTGGGTCCGAACTCAAAGGAAGAAATTTGTTTGATTGGCTAATTTTATATAGATTTTTTGTAGATCACGAGTTGTTTTTGTAAAATCTGATTGGTCAATTAATAAATTATGAAATTACTATGAAAATTATTCGATTATTTAATTAATTACAAAATTTATTTGATTATTAAAAATAATATAAAATTGCAACAATTATATAACTGCAAATACTTAATTTAATTAAATCACAATAATAAACTCACAAAAAAATAAATTTGTATTATAAAAAATTTTTTTATTTAATTAATATACAAAATTTGCACTTGTAATAAATAATTATAATAAAAAAAAAACAATTAAATAAAAAACAAATAAAAATTATAATAGAAGAAATTGCCATATTGTACTATCCCAGAGAACTGTTATATTGGCAGATTCTTTAGTATCATCATCATCTTCTTCAGGAACAGATTCAGAGTCTTCGCTTTCAGTGCTTTCGACACTTTCAATATTATTATTCGAATCAAGCGGACATAAACTTTCTAAGAGTGATTGAACATTTTTATCAACACCGTCTTTAATATAATCAAAACAATGTAAACACTTGGACCTATCTTGAATAAAATATGTGTCGTGATATGTGTGGCCACATGGCAACACTCGTTCTGTTTCTTCAGTAAGTGGTTGTCCTGGTCCCTCATTAACAAAATTATTAGTAATGCAACTATAAGAATCACAACCAGATGAACTAGGCTTATATGAAGAACTATATCCTAAAGGAAAATGGCAAAGCCACACCTCTTTCATCTTCATTGCTAGAATAGAAATACTTTTTGTATTGGTATTACTTTCTTTCTTCTTTCTTTTTATTAGGCGTACCAAAGCAACCTGCGGTGGAATTGTAAATTGAAGATTTTTACACTTAATACGAATATAAATCTCAGAAAAACAATCAAGAAGAAAGCATGCTGTTTTCCATGTTAAAGTTTCGATATTCCGAGAAGAATACTGATAAACCGCCCAAGTCGAATTGTGAATAAAATTTTTCTTAAAACCATCGTCATTAAATCGTAAATAGTTGATATATCATCCTTCTTTTATTATTTGTTCTGCCGTATGATGCTTCTCTGTATTACGCCGCAAAAGACTGTGAAAGATTTCTACAAGTGTATCAGAAAATTTCAGTAATTCGGCTTTCATTATACTCAAAATCCGATAATTTTTGGATTGCTAATAGAAAATATCTGAAAGAAACATTAAAGGTGCTTTAGAATAGTTTTTATGATTAAACTAAGAAAAATAACCCAAACTCGAAAACAAGATTCAAGATAAGAATTAAAATCGCCAGCTCTAAAAAATACTGCATAAATGTCAAGAACTAATGGAATCGTATTATCTAGCAGGTCTTTAAGTGTTAAATATTCTGGATCTTTACACATATAACCGAATTTTATTTCAACCATTTTTGCAATTTCTTGCCACGCACTACGCGAAAGTTCTAACAATAAGTTGATATGCTATGGCTTCGGTTTTTGAGGAAGGTTTTTCTTTTTGTCGAATATATATTTGTATATTTCAGAAAAGAATAGTTGATATTGGAAAAATATTAATTCGCGACTGTTCAACGAGATATGCAGAGGACCTATCATTGGAAGAAATGACAAAATTTTATTAGTAATTCCAGAAGAGCTACCATTAACAAGAAATCGTGATATAGCTGTTCTTAAATGTATTTGACCGGGCCAATTAGTGATGACTGGGATAACATTGCTGTCTTCAATATATTTATTTATTGCTGAGACTGATGCAGCAATATTAATAGCCTTAATATAAGCATCCATTGTACGAAGATTACTTTCAAAGAGATCTACAAGCACCGTGTCTTTAAGTGATCTTGAACTTCTTTTTTCTTTTAAATGAACATCATAACTATGAACCATCAATTCTTCAAGCTTGGTTTCATCATCTACAGATTAAAATCTCCAACGTTGGTTATGAGAAAGTGAATATACCGGCATAAAATAATTTTCAATACCGGTTACAACCAATTGAGAATTAACTAATATGAGGTTGTGAATATCTTGTTTTGGTATTGCTGGTTGGGTTTTGATCGAATTAAGTAAAATAGTGGCAAGATGTACTGGAGCAGACATTGTAGTCGTAATAGATATTTTTATAGTGTGAATACTATGATAATTGTCGATATTTAAAAGTAGTGCATTATTATAACTATCTTCAAGACTAGTTTCCACAGTTGCCGAATGCTTTTGAGACACAGAATCCTTATATGATGCTGGAAGCCTATACTTAACGGTTACATGAAGTGTTTCAATTTTTTAAATGGCTATAACTTTTTATCTAAGAGGTTTTAAAAAAATCTACCTGGTAACTTTATAGAGATATATCAGCTCTACATGTGTGCCAAATATCTTTTCAAAATCTCATCACTGTAATGAGTTGATGCGTTTTGAAAATTGAAATTTTATATGTAAATTTATAAATTTACATATAAAATTTTCAATTTTTAAAACGCATCAACTCATTACAGTGATGAGATTTTGAAAAGATATTTGGCACACATGTAGAGCTGATATATCTCTATAAAGTTACCAGGTAGATTTTTTTAAAACCTCTTAGATAAAAAGTTATAGCCATTTAAAAAATTGAAACACTTCGTGTAACCATTGAGTATAGGCTTCCAGCACCATAGTAAGAAATTGAACGGGACATTAATATCAAGCCCATTGTTGCTAAGGTGTTTATTGTGGAATTAGGTGTTCCTGTAGAATCTAAATACATTTCTAAATCTCTTTTCGCATTATTAACAAACATATTTTTAATATGGTGCCAGCGGCTTTAAATCTCCAATCACGTGATTTTGTTCACTTTTGATGGAAAATCATGTGATATACTTATATCCAATCAAATTCGAGCACGTTTCGTTTTTTTTTTTTTAGAGAACAGGCACAAAATGATTTTTTTTTACTTATCTATATAGTGAACGGACATAATCACAATACTTTTTGCCTTCGGTATAGATAACTGTATAGTGCAACAGGTAATCAATTTTTAACGCATATACTCTGTGGCATTTTTTTGTCTTTTACGATACACTGCGGCGAACGACTTTTTTAAAAGTAGCTCTTTTTTTTTTTTCCGGAGGACAAATACTTTTTTTTAAAGCGGTTTTTTTTTAAAAAAAAAAAAAAACCGTTTGAATCAGTAACGTACTATACCTGTTGTAAGGTGGGTTCAAAAACTCTCAAACGCTGCTGAACAGTCAAATTTATTGATTTAAAACGTCATGTAGGTCTCTATTGATCTCTCCTTGCACGATTTGTGGTTGTTCCTACTTATTCGTCTACCCGAAGTCGCCTATGTAATTTAAACTGTTTTACGGCCCTCTTTGCATCTTCTCCTTCTAAACTTGTTGCATATGCTTCAATATACCTTCAAGCCTTTCGGCTAAATTGTCTAACCATAACTAATAATATGTTGTTGAGTATTTCTGGTACATGAAGTTGTAGCTGAGCATAAGAATAATCACATTGCTAATGGGCGATTCGTTTAGCAGCACCCCAAAAACGTTCGATGAAGTTGCATTCATAGTGAAATTTTGGATATAATTCAAAAATATGCCCGGCAGCTTCAACAGTCTCTGCAATTGAAGTCTTTTGTCCCAAAAAATCTGGTTTCATCGTAAGTGTATGTCTTGCGCAACAATTCGGAACTAAAAAAAAAAAATTTATATTGATTATTAACTTTATGATGCAAAATTTCTTCTTTTACCCTTTTCATTATCCTCCTTTCTTTTACAATCCAATCTCTGACCGGTCCACATCCTCCGTTCTTCCAGAATCTAAGATACATAGTAAAGAAAAAGTAATAAAAAAAAAAAAAAAAAGGTAAAAAAAAAAAAGATAAAAGTCTTTATATACCTTTTGATCCCCTTAAACTTTACGATACCATCGTCTTCATCCAAAAAAAACATAGGTTGTGTGATTTTTTCATAATTACGAATGAACCAACCATCCTTAAACTTAAATTTATTTTCAACTTTTGGATGCATAGTCATTCTGGAACACACGAGTGCATCAAGTGCATATACATTATGGTTAGTACTCTGATCAAAGCAGAATACACCTTCAAAAAAAAAAAAAACAAAAAAAAGGATAAATAAAAAAAAAAATAATAATAAAAAATAATTAGAAAACAATAGACGAATTTGAAACTATGCCTATGCATCCTGGGTGGAGAGCATTAAAAATCGGAATTGCCTTTTCACGAAGCTGTTTAACCATATTTTCACTTTTCCAATAACTATCAGCTTGTTGTCCCGGCTTTATAATAACTCGAGCTTCTTGGTCCAACCCAAGTCATATAGCATCAGCCTCTGTAAGGCGCAAAGAGCCATGGCATGCACACAAGAAGTCGCTAACCATAATTGCTAACCCTTGGCCTTTTTTCTTGATAATAGACTCTTTATCTTCAACCCAAAAGGATGAATTGTCGTCATTAGCATAAAAGTAAACTTCATCATGGGTAACCAAAACATGGCGCATATCCCAAATTTCAAGCCGTTCTGGAGGTATGACATTTTTCATCTTATCACCATCATATTGTTCCATTTTTTTTTGATAATTCATCATTCTCATCGCCCATCCTTTACGATATTCTCGCACGTCTTCCCATTCATGACCATTGAAATAGACCTAAAAAGTATCAAGCAATTTAAAAAAAAAAATAAATAAATAAAATAATAATAATAATAATAATAATAATAATAGACTATACAAATTTAATTATTTGGCTTTCATAACATAAAACTTTTAAATAGACCTGGTTGGCCAGATTTTTTTTTTTTTTTTTTTATACAAAAATTTTAAAATCCGTTCGGTTATTAAAATTTTTCCAAATTTTGTCCCGGCCTGGTTATGAAAAACTATTAATTAATTTTGCATGACCTTACATACCTGTTGCCCTATGGTTTTTTTGTGAAAACCCCATAAGTGCATGAATTTTCGTGTAGTGGTTTCCAAAATAGTGATTGGTACTCCAAGCAATTTAGAAAAGATATTTGTTTCCAATTCTTTCTTTAGTGCTAAAGAAGAATGATCTTTTGGTAGAATAGAACGTAACCAGGTACAAGCCGCCAGTTTGAGATCCTCATCATCAAGCAACGATTCTCTTTTTGCGTGTTTTCCCTGTTAATGTTTAGGTAAGGTATCTTGTTCAAGAAAGTCTTTCGCCTATCCTCTAATGCAACGAGATATATATTCTGTATTCCGAATATTCTTCCATAAAGTATCCACAATTTTTTCTGATGCACTTATTTTTTTTTCACCGTCTAGTAATAACCTATAATAATGGAAAATAGAAGTCAACCTTTGTACTTCATAAGGTTGTGATTTAGCTAAATTTTTTTTAGCATTTTGAAGACTTCGAAGTTGATTTTTTAATTCGTTATAACACTCCTCTATTCGTTGCATTTGTCGTTTAGATTGGGCTAAAATATCTTCACGGTATGATAGGGCTGGGGCTTTTCCTTTATCTCGTGCCTTTATGCTCCACATTTCATCAAGAGTTCGCATCTGTTTAGCTTCGTGTTGAAGTTGTTCCTGGGCCTTCCTTTTTTTCCAAAGGTTTGTTCTTGAGTTTCCTAAAATTTTATCATTAGTATAAAGATTTAAGATATATATTTTGTAGAAACTGTTTTGGTACTTCGACATTGATTTTTGATATGAAACCGTGAGGTACCTCAGCGGTTTCATATCAAAAATCAATGCCGAAGTACCAAAATAGCTTTCAATTGTACCAGTATAAAAAGTGAATTTCAATTTTTTATCGGCTTTTTCATGCCATTCTATAGTTTTTAATGCATAATTTTGAAAGCTATCATGTGTTATTTCGAATAACTCCCAGTCTTCCAGAATATTCATGTTTTCTTCTATATCATTTATATCTTTAGGATTAGCTACAAAGACACCAGCTTTATTACGGGTCTTGCTAGATGCAATGCGAGATTTGGCATTTGGGCGAGGCATTATGATACTGAAAAGGTATGAATTTGAAAATCAATATTTTTTTTGCACGCATACCATATTGTAATTTAATTAATCATATTTTTTTTAGAAAATCGGGTTGACAATTAGATAGGACTATAGAACGTATTAAATAGTAAATATTTAATTTTATTTATTATTTATTGTAAGCTGAATAAATTATTAATTAATAATGAAATCTTATGTTTTATTACAATTTTAATGGATATCGAATTTAATATTTAATAATTGAATTTACATTTCGTTTGTATTGCGAACATACATAGTTTTTTAAATCTCAAAATAATTCAAATATAATAAGTTGGTTTTTGAACCCCAACTAAATTGATCTTATTTAACACATAAGAGCATAAATTAATATTAAATTCGTTAATCTTGCTATTATAATGTGGTGCTTAGTATTTATATTTAAATAAAAATGAAATCTAAATATATTCAATGACTGATCTACGTATATTGAGAGTACTCTCAAGCACCTAAATTGATTAGTGGAAAATAAATTATTCGGTCAAGCAAGTTCATTATCGTGATGAAAAAAAAGATGGTCTGAGACCATCTTTTTTTTATCATAGTGTTGCGCTGATTGGCTAAAATTTAATATCCACATTTCGCAACTGAATCTTTGGCAAAATTACCGGATTACTTCAATTTATCGTACTTGTGCACGATCTCTATAACTAGTCAATCAACGACAGTATAATAAACTATTAGTAAAATTAGCGATTGTATAAATCACATGATCTGAGTTTTTGGTGGTTGTCTTGTAGATCTCGAAATAATCACATGAGCGTAATAATGCATTCTGATTGGTTTAAATTAAAAACATATATGTTTACATTTTTACAATTTATTAATAAATTGTTAATTTTTTTTAATTTTTAAAAGATTACTGCACTACCAGTTTAGCTATAAATTAAAATCTAAACCACAAGTTTTATTCTTTAGAACAAAAAGAACAATTCTTGTGGATTAATTTTATGTTTTATAAATTTTTTTAAAAAAAGTAGTATTTTTTGTAAAGCTATTTTTTATGGAGATTTAAAACCGCTAGCACCATACCACAAATAAAATAACACAAAAATACCAATTGCTTTGATACTTTTTCCATTGTACTTATGCTTTTTCATCACGAGTTGGTCGATAAATATAGTTTATCAAAAAAAGACTTTAACCGTTGATCTTTTGATTCCATAACTATACAAATTCCTCAAAATCCCAAATTGTTGGTAGTTTATTCTGCTTTCTTTTATAAAAAACGTCTGTAATTATTTCTACAGCCTGTGAAAAAGTTACACTATTAGTAAAAATATCCATAGGTGTTTCTTCAGGGATTTCTGGCACATTATGGCAAGACTGTTCCAATGCATATTGCTGAAATTCGACTGTGCTTCTTGTTACGATTCCATTATAGCAATTTAAGCAAATTGCATCACCTAGTTGAACATAATTTGGAAAAGTTTTGTTAGTTTGACCTTTAGAAATAACATTTTTGGTTACTGTTTTCCAGTTGGAAGACTATCTCTTGCAAATTGTAATTACACATAGTCCTGTAAGTTTACTAGTAAATGGCATTTTTGTCTTCTAAGCAAAGTTTATCAGGAGTAAGATCTTTTTTAAATTCTTTTGCACAGTGAATATTGACACTATTTTAAAGCTATAAATGGCTTTTGCGATGATTTTTTATTAGTGAAATGTTGTGTTATAAAAAAGTACTTTAAAGTGTATAAATAAGTTACCCGGGCAATTGATCTGCATTAGCCAATCAGATGAATTTCTTTTTTTGAGCTTTAAAGTATTTTTTAGGAATTCGATGTTTTACTAACAAAAAAAATTTTTTTTAATCATACACAGCTTCGAAAGGACACTAACAACTATTGTGCAAAATAATCAAAAGGTAATCAACATTCTCAAGAACTTCACTCAGAAGCAAGTATTTCGTTATTTATTACTATACTAACTATATATAAGG